GTTTAAATTTCTGAAGTAAAATGAATTTTTTTATTCTCCAAAAAGGAAATACTAGAATACGTAGCCTTCGCTAGGCATAACATAGTCTCTCTCTCTCTCTCTAAATTAATGCTGCCACCCATTTTTTGTCGATTTTTTGTTTTTGATAAAAACAATATAACTTTTTATTGTCGCCTCCTGTTTAGGATACCTTCTGGTTTTTGAATTCACATACATGGCCCCCTTTACGTGGTTATCCGAACCACCCCGGCCTGGATATTGGAGTGAATAAAGGGGCCCTCACTAAACATTTTTGATCAAACTTTCACATAAAATTTTATATATTAATCACTTTCAGATAGGCAATCACAACATATATAGAAGCCCCACAATAGCACATGTCATCCGCGTACCTTCTTTGTGGACGAACGTTATCGGCACGTCCGTCCACTGCCACGGTCACCACGAAACTCCTCAATAAAGATCGGAAAAGCGGAAGATTTTACTCATGTACTATTTCTTGGTTTTCCTTTAGTTTTGCGTTGACGCCACCGCCACCTTGTGGCAATAGTCTTTTTGAATCAAAGGGGAATGATTTGTGCTGTTTCAACTTTTGAAGAAATTGCTTTCATTGATTTATATATTATAAACATAAAATGTTTATAGCAGGGAAAAAACAATGATTTAAAAAATTAACTATAACATAACAACTGTTAACACTCCCTAGTATTTCAGCAGACCAACTGAGGATGTGAAAACAAAATATACTATGCCAATATCATAACCTCAAACTATTTTAGATATTAGTATAATGAGTGTTATATTATATCACCCTTTTGAACTGTTCTAGTGAGATGATTTTTGAATAAGGTTAGTGTATGAATAAATTTTACTATGACCACTAGAGAGGTGACACACACTTGAGAGGTTACAGTTGATATGAAATTAGAAACAAATTTCCCTGAAAGATGATTAGGCCAAATATCAATTTACTAACTAAATTTTTAACTATGGTGACATAGTCTAACCATGTTTCTTTATTGATCTAAATTCATCAGATTTAATAATTACAAAAACAGATCATTTTAATGATGTGATTTTGGGAAATTATTTTTGTGGAAAAAAGAAATGAGATGAAAAGGAAATGTTGACAAGTGACATTGTATAGTTATTTTCAACGAAACTGGTTATTTTTCACAGACATGCTGATGACATAAATGTGCAAATGATTTTTAGTTCAAAAAATTTCATGAGTTTAATTTATTTCTACCTTGAGGTAGAAATATCTCAAGACAATAAAATTTTTCCATGATCTCACATCAATAATTGATGAACAAAAATAACGAATGGATTCAAAGATGATGAAATAACAGTATAATTACATTGAGCGCTTCTTGGCCTGTTCCTTCCCCGTCGATGACAGCAGCAGGATCAAAATTGAGATCTGAGGGTATTTCTGAGACAGAGTTTTCAGCGTTTCCGCTGCCGTTATTCGACGTACTGTTGTTCGATCCAGTACTGTTATTGTGAGCATCCGAAGGTGGGGGGACACTCGGGGGGCCAGTACCACCACCAGGTGTGTGCGCTGAGCCTGGCGTACCACCGGGTGTATGCGGCGTGTGGGGCGTGTGTGGTGTATGAGGAGTGTGGGGCATCTGAAATAAAAAAAATACATTCACATTATGGAATTACACATTCAATTCACCCTGAAGTACTGTCTGTTTGAAAATGAGGTGAAGACAGAATAAAATTTGTAATAGAGAACAGTAATTTTGAATTTCCCGCCAGAACGGTCGCCGTCCTGGCTCAGAACCCGCTTCACTTATCTACTACATGCAACAATTTCTGAATACATACCTGTTCATTCAGACTCTTCTCCATTGCATTTAGTGGATCCAGGGAATTGACGGATTCACTCAGATGGGACAGAGGTCCATTTCCACCCAAGTATTCGTTGCTTCCAGAGTAGGTCATGTCATTCATGTTACTTCTGGAATTGTTGTAGGAAGGAGGTCCATTCATCATCGAACCGCTGGCAATACTGTTCATATCTGGAGGTAAATAGGGCGACATTGCTTGCATGTCCCAGTTGTTCATCGTAGGTAGGGTCATACTTCCCGGGGACATGGCTTTGTTCCTTTTGGCTCCACAGGAGTCATTTCCTTCATCTTCCATCTGAAAGAAAAGATTATGAGATGAGTTGGAGTTTGAATTTTGATTGCATGGCTGTAATATGAGTGTTTGAGAAGGAAATCAAGATGGCGTGCAGCCTCTTTGCGCTTTCACTTACCTTTATTCCAGGAACATTTCCTTTAGCAGCTTTCCAGTTAGCTGAACTGTCTATGGTTACTTCTTCAACATCTGAAGTACTGAGAGTGTTCAGAATTCCCCACATATACTGATCCACTTCAAGTCCTTCTAGTTGGGCAGGCTTGCTGAAAATTATAAAATATCATTATTACAACTATTCAATTTGAATTTTCTTTTAGTTCACATTAATTTATTTTGAAATATTATTTTGTGTGTTTATTCCGAATTTGTTAACACTTCTTACAATGGCATCCAAACCTCCAACAATCAAACTAAATCTGCCAGATACTTACTTGCAAACGGGACACCTCCATGCCCCTCGTTCACAGTTGAGTTGCAAGTAGGACTCCAAGTCGAAACACTGTATATGCTTGCATTCGTGCCCCCTGGCAGGCAGTGTGATTCTTTTGAAGGTGATAGGACACTTCACTGAAACTTTGAGTGCCGTTTGCTCCACAGCATCTCGATCTCTATCCATGGTGGGACCTGTACCGGTATTGCTGAAGTTCCTCTTGATCTTAGCTATACAATGATCTGCCGTAAGGAGCCGTTTCCTCAATAGGCCCTGCAGCACTGACCTCACGCTCGGTCTATGTACAAGTTGTAAGACGAAAAGGTGGGACTGCAAAAAAGATACGATTATGGCAAAACATTTCTTTGATACCTCTATGCTCACAAAAGTATTTTACAAGATAGCACTGGAAAACTAAATTTTTTGTGACATCTACGATTTTAATAGCCAAATATTGAAATCAGATGTTGATTTAATCTTCAAGTATTAAAGATTCAACTATTGAGCAAAGGTGACACAGTATTTAAAATGATAAATCAAAAGTTTCATTATCGAATACTTACACAACAACACGCTGAGACGGTTATCTGTATCGTATTCCTGCCCGGCTGACATACTTCCTTGAGATAGAGGGGCTTGTGAGAAGTTTTGTTCTCTCCCCGGTCGATGATGAGAGGCGTTGCATTGACTGACACTTGCACTGAAGCAGGCCAATTGGTGTTCATTTGTCTGTCTTCGTGGTGGAAGCACTTGAGCTGCAGCTCCAGGTCCTGGCGCCACATCAGCGTCTGATGCACCGTAGGCTTCAATTGGAAAACGTGATTGCTGACCGCCAAGTTATGTTCGAGACGAAACGGTGGAAGGATGATACCATCCCTCACAGGAAATGTTAACCTCAGCTCATCGTCTTCTGGAATAAGATTTGAATAAGCAAATTTTTTTCGGCGAAGAACGTTTTCAATATTAGAATCATATTTCACATTGAATTGATGGATGTAGTCGTTAGTAAGTGGTAGGAAATCGTCATGAAAAATGAGAACTGAAACTTTCTATGTTTTTTACCACTTTTATTTGTAACTAACGTTACTGTAGTTTTGTCCTATGAGAATATTTTCAAACTTATGTATTAAACAGTTGAATCTATTTTGAAAATGAAATGCTGAAGAAATCCTATAGACAAAGATTATTTATGGAGTATCTTCATATAAATGAACCCTCTTTATAATGTTGGCCCATGACAAAACACAATGACACAACATACATTTTCAGGAATTTGGAAGTAATGAGATCCAGTTTCAATTAGCATACCAGTTTATTGATATAAAATAATGTCTTCAAGAAATCTTCCACACCTCAAGTTAGCACCATTGGAACATTCTGCACATTTTTGTTAAAGGCTGAGCCAGTCTGCTTTATCTCGAAGGAACGGAGTAGCAAAAATATTATGGTAACACTTTGACGTTCACTGGATTATTGAAAATAAATTTTGAACCTTTTGTTAAGATTTTCCTGAAGATTGAAAAAAATATACATAGGATGGAGTCGTCACAAATGGTGTCAGGTGTGGGGTCACAACGTACTTCAGTTGTGCCATCCAGATCTAATCTAGCGAGTTTTATAAATGAGGAACTGAAGTACGTTGTGACCCCACACCTGACACCACTTGTGAAGACTCCATCCTGTATATATTTTTTTCAATCTGAACGAAAATCTCGAAAGAAGAGTTTCAAAATTTATTTTCAAAACTCCAGTGAACGTCAAAGTGCTACTATGATAACATATATATCTAGTATTTGTAATTTACATTGTTATTTTTCCTATTTATTGATTGCTTGGATGATTCCGAGCATACATATTTTAGTGTTATGAAGTTGGACTGTGACTTTGTCTATTAAACAGCCCTTTTCAGGGCTACATTATTTAAACAAAGAGTAGATATCTCATAATGAGATTGCAACAACACCCTATCTGCGGAGCAGTTACCGTAGACTTTCGGGTCAACAAAAATACAGCTCTTTTCAGAGCTACAAAAAAAATGTAGATATCTAATAATAAGATTGATCACTCAGTCAAAGAAATAGAATATTTTGGGTGTCACATAATCATACGAAGAGTAGTTTGTAATATATGGATATACCTCTAAAATGTACATCCATATACATATGAGGTATGCACAAATGTGTTATAGAATATGTAAGTTCTCTGAATATCTCATCTTTGTAAAATAAATCACATTGAAAAATGATTGTTTAAGCGTCTGAGTGGATTTGAATCTGTTTGATAACATACTAGCTCTCTCTTATCTGAACAATTGCAGAATTCATGTCAAGATTTGGATATATAATTTTCATAAGACAATATTTCAAATTCGAGGGGTGCTTATTCAGAGTAGTCAATAAGAGTAATTGGTATTGTAATTCAGAATATTTATTTTAAAGGTGGAAAGGAGAGAGGGAGGTTGACACTGCCCCAATCACGCAGTGTCTCGTGTACACCAACCAAACTAAATGTGTACTCCGAGGAAGGGAAGGAAAAAGGATGGGTGAAATAGGGAAAAAATAGGGAAAAAAAGGAAAGGATTACAAGTCGTCGTCGCTGTCATCGGGTCGGGGGAAGTACTGCCACATCACCGAACCCTCAGAAAACGCCATTTCCTCCGCAAATGCGTCGTCGTCCCAGAGATCGTCATCGTCATCGTCATCCGAGCTGCTCGAGTCTTCGGAGTGGTCTTCGGTACTGGTCACATGCAGTACCTGGACCGAAGATGTGGAAGGGTGATGAGGCGTGGTGGTTGAATCGGCCTCCATATCTGGATTCTCCATATCGGAATCCTCCAACTGAAGATCCGGGAGTGGCGCTGTAGGTTCTTCCGCCTGGGGTCCGGTTGTGGAATCGGCTTCCTGGTATGTTGACATGCTGACGATAGCTACTCAACTGAAGATTACATTGAGGAACTCCTACATTTATACTCTTGCATATTTTCTTCAATGGAAAGATATCCGATCAATTATACATATTTTGAGTAAAACTAGTAACAAAGCCTGACGCATGTCTTCAATAATACCATAGATCAATTCCGTTATAGTTTATTATTCTAGAGTTTCAATTTACATTCAGTTTTAGTTTCATTTGGGTCACTCTGTATACGATATTGTTGATAAGCAGCAGTTACCTAAGTAAAAATTCAACAATTCTCGTGTACCTACAGCACTTTTGTTATTTGAACTCGCCTCATTGTTTTCCTATTTCAGTCTGGCCGATTTTTAATATTATTTTTGTTGCAAAATACGTCAACAGCCATAAACAGATTTTGTCATCAGTGCGAGGAATACAATATGCGTGACTAGACAAGAAGGCAAAAACAAACAACAATGCAATAATAATGACCTGCCGACCATTACATTATTAACAATAATTGAATGTGTGACGCCTTATTTCAAAATTGGTAAATAATACCAAATTTTTATGGATGTTTATCGAATATCATCAAGCAGCTCGTCAAATACTTGCTTTCTAAAAGTACAAAATCAATATTTTCGGGATGAATTTACACTTACACTGAGTGCCTTTTAATAATGCAAAATTCAATAAAAATAGGAAATATATTTATATTCAGGGCCGGATTTGGAAATCGGTAGGCAACGAAGGAGTGGAGGCCCCTTAATTTTTTTTATAAAAGTTGAATTTTCAACTTGTATAAAAAAATTCCATTCAAGATATTTCGTCCAATAAATTTTTGAAATTTGGAACACGAAGAAGCGAGAAGTTATTTTATTTCTCTTCAGCTCGTGGATACATATTACAAATTGCAGATTGAAAAAAAGTTTTGCCATCGATCAAACCAAAAATTGTTATTGGAAACTTGTAATCAGGGCTTTATGATAGATCAATAACTATTTTATAAGTTTGTGCAATCATTCTTGGTAATAATGTCAAAAACTGTTTTTAAAAGAACTTGCTATACTTTGTTTTATAATAACCCCACCCAAAAAATATATCAAGCGAGACAACACTTACTTTGCGTCGGTATAGGAGGCTTCAGTTCATTGAAATTTGGTTTGACATCAGGATTTGGGCTGATGTACGGAGGAATACTGCTTGCAGGTGTGAGAGGCGGCGTCGGATTGCCCGGTATCGGACTGTGCTGGTAGCTCATGTTGTTCCTCATCGCAACGTCTTGTTGAAACTGATGCGCCGAAGAAGTAGTGCCATATTGAACGGTAGCGCCACTATTCATATTGTACTGACCAGAGTTACTCGTAGGAAACTGATTCATAGAACCAGCTGGGAAATACTGTCCTTGATTGGTGTAAGGCGGCGTTGCTTGCCTGAGCTGCCTAGGATTGCCCACAGGAACCATGTTGTTAGGACCGAAGTTGCCCGTAGGCCCCAGAGACTGCTGCGTAGGATACTGACCGAAACTAGGCTGCCTGCTGCTGTAGTTAGGGTACTGGCCGCTCGGATTAAAATTAGGATTCATAGAAGCACTCATATTCGGATTCATACTGGGGTTAATACTGGGATTCATACTGGGGTTCATACTGGGGTTCATGCTGTGACTCATATTGGGGTTCATACTATGAGTCATGCTGGCGTTCATACCGGGACTCATCGTGGGACAGGGAGAAGAGTAACTCTGCTGGCTGCCCCTTTTCTGGGTCATATGCATGGCAGGGGAAGGGTACGGAGTCATCCTCCTGGGATACATGGATGAAGAATTAGGACCGGGTCCCTGCATACCCATCTTAGGTCCCATGTTACCTCCCATGCTCCCCATTACATTGCTATGCATGTTGCCCATGGACATGTTCTGCATGTTGCTCATGGGGTTCATTCCGTTCATGCCGTTCATGTTATTCATGGGCATCATTCGTTGCTGATAGCCCTGGGAATACTGTTGATTGTTGAACTGGGAATTGTCCTGGAGTGCCACCACGCTTGCGGTGGCAGTCGCTGTTGCGGTTGCTGCAGCTACCATTGCTGCAGTGGAAAGGGCATTACCACTTCCGTATCCGTTGTCCCCACCATTCATAACATTACCTGCACCATAACCGCCCACACTGAAAAGGAAAAAAAATATTACTATCCATTCAATGTGCCGAACTTATTTTTTCTACTTTTAGTAGCATTAACATGATCAACCTTGATTTAAAAAAGTAATCAGTTAGATAAGAATGATTATCATAATACGAATGTTAGTTCTTGATAGTGTAGCTATCTATAAGTGAAGGAATTCTGAAAATGATAGTTGTTATATCATAGGTATTAGGAAAGAAAAGATGCGCTTGAAAATATTTTCCAGCACCTGCAATCATTTTTTAGTTGATGTTACATACAATGTAAGTGTTTACTTGACTTGGATGACTGTTTATTCAGAGTAGTCAATAAGAGTAATTGGTATTGTAATTCAGAATATTTATTTCGAAGGTGGCAAGGAGAGAGGGAGGTAGACACTGCCCCAACCACGCAGTGTCTCGTGTACACCAACCAAACAAAATGTGTACTCCGAGGAAGGATAAAGGATGGGTGAAATAGGGAAAAAAATAGGGAAAAAAAAGGAAAGGATTACAAGTCGTCGTCGTCGTCGCTGTCATCGGGTCGGGGGAAGTACTGCCACATCACCGAACCCTCAGAAAACGCCATTTCCTCCGCAAATGCGTCGTCGTCCCAGAGATCGTCATCATCATCATCCGAGCTGCAAGAGTCTTCGGAGTGGTCTTCGGTACTGGTCACATGCAGTACCTGGACCGAAGATGTGGAAGGGTGATGAGGCGTGGTGGTTGAATCGGCCTCCATATCTGGATTCTCCATATCGGAATCCTCCAACTGAAGATCCGGGAGTGGCGCTGTAGGTTCTTCTGCCTGGGGTCCGGTCGTGGAATCGGCTTCCTGGTATGTTGATATGCTGACGATAGCTACTCAACTGAAGATTACATTGAGGAACTCCTACATTTATATTCTTGCACAGGAGGGGGTCTAGTGGGAGGCGGAGAGGGGGGGTGGGGGTCGCAAAAATCGCGCCCCGGGTGCAAGTGGTGGATGTTGAGCGCCCCAGGCCGCGAAGCGCTGAGTGATCGCTTCACGATCGCGAAGCGATCGCCTATACTACCTTTCCCTTCGTTACTTACCCGAATATACATTGCTTAAAATTTCTTTATGATACGAATTTTCATCAACATTATTGAAACAATGTTCCAAAGATATCCAAAGATAATGATTAACTGTTTCCATTTTCTAATTCATNTTACTAAAAATCCATATTTATCTTCCCAACATCTCGCACACATATCTTGAAATTGCTTATATGTTACATCTGGTGATACATGGTCGGAAAAAATATGATTGAGATTCATATCATCGTATTTAAACATTACGATAAAATTAGCATTATCTCGTATCAATTGTTTCGGAACTCGTGAATATGTTTGGGCGCTGATCGCGAAGCGATCGCCTATACAACCTTCCCCTTCGTTACTTACCCGAATATACATTGCTTAAAATTTCTTTATGGTATGAATTTTTATCAACATCATTAAAACAATGTTCCAAAGATATCCAAAGATAATGATCAACTGTTTCCATTTTCTAATTCATTCGTTTTATAGCGAAACAACTAACGATTCACTGCAAGGGCGTATCGATATAGCCCTATTTTTTTCACTACTACCAAATAGAGTGGTTATGTTGAATGCTGCCCCATCCACGCAGCATTCCGTGTGCACCAACCAGGTACTATGTGCACTCCGAGGAAAACCTAACCTACCTGATCATCATCATCATCTATAATGATGATGTCAGGTGCGACCGGGTTAACCCCTTCCATAATGTCCGGTTCGGGAGAATTAACCACCACGATGATATTTGGTGGAGCGATTTGATGGATCTTCAAGCCACAGTTGATCCACAAGTTCTGGGCTGGCAAATTCATCATGTTCAAACTCATCTTCGTCTGAGGTTACATCTTGTTCTTCATTCAGCTCTATTGTTGTATCTGAATACCCATCGAATTCATCATCGGGAGATGTTGAATCAACTACAGCAACTTGAATGTCACCATAGGACCAATTCTCTGGTGGGGCAAAATGAGGTTCACTGGTGGAATCAGCTTCCCGAATAATTGGTGTTGCTTGATTCATGATGAACGAACAAGTTGAAGAATATTGAGAATACAATCTTATTTATATGATTTGAAGAAAGTGGGGTAGAGTAAGGGAGGGGAGATATGTGAAAAATAAAGACCCACTAGGTTATTTATTTAAGTATTGATGTGAGAATTGAGGAATAAATCCAATATAATATTCATTAGATTCATAATTTTATTTTTACACATTCACATGAATAATATTTGTTTGAATAATGTTGAGAGAAGTATCAAAATTTTTTTTCATTGAATGACAGTGATTGCTCATTACAAATACCATTCATTTTCTTTTTACTTTTCTCAATGCTATTTGTTTGGTAATATCGCAGTTATTTGTTTGAATGACGCTGGAAGAAGTATCAANATAAAGGAACAATCTTCATTCTGCAACACAAATGAATACTTGAATACTGTAATTAATTTCTACATGCTAAATATGGCTAGAACATGACTAGATTGAAGGAATAAATACTGCCCCAACCACGCAGTATTCTGTGTGCAACAACCAAAGAGAAAATGTTTGATAATTATGATATAATATTAATGAAAAACCAGAATTGGAATTCATGTAGATTTTTGTCAATTTCTGCATAGATTTCACTGAGGTTATCAATGTCTGATCTTTCATTGAGGCAATTATTAGATTGTAAAATATATGACATTTCCAAAAAAAATCTTTTAGATGTATTTCCTTCAGTTGATAAAATTTTTGTTGAATTATAGTCCATTTTATGACTTTCTTTGGACACATGATTACTAAGAGCACATTTTTCAGGATGTAATCTACCTTTATGTGAGCTAATTCTTTCTTTGAGTAATCTTGACGTTTGACCACTATATTCCCTACCATTTCATTGAATGTAGAAAAAACATCAAAAGAATCTTTAATATAGTATTAATTGTCAATAAAATGAAACTACCTAACAATTATGTTATTGTTAGGTTAGATGTTGTATCTCTTTTCAGTAATGTCTATTTGGACACTTGTCTCAGATCTATTGATAGAAAGTCGGGACCTATTAGTCAATTTTGTGACATTCAAAAAGACGATTTCCTCCAACTTATAATTTTCCTTTTTAATAACACATATTTTTCATTTAATGGTAAAATTCATAAACAAACTTTTGGTACTCCAATGGGAGCTAAGATTAGCCCCATTTTAGCAGCTTATGTCATGGATGACCTGCTAGATTTGGTCTTTCAGGTACTTCCCTTCAATCTTTTCTTTATAAAAAAATATGTCGATGACATTATTATATCCCTTCTTCAAGATGGAATATCTGAGATTGTGGACATCTTTAATAGTTATGACCCTTACATACAGTTCACCATCGAAACTGAGAACAACGAACAATGGGTTCCATTCCTCGACACTAAGGCTATCAGAACACGAGATAATACTTTACTCATTGATTGGTATCGCAAGCCTATCAGTTCTGGTAGGTTCTTGAACTATTGATCATAACATAAACAGTCAACGAAAATCAATTCGTGACCCATTTTATTCTTGTTTCGTCAACTGCAAAATATACCTGCTCAAGGTGTTCTTGTTTCGTCACCTCATCTTTGCACCTGCGCTAGTGATTAAGAGGCTTCTATTATGCATTTTTTATTTTTATTTTGAAAATAATTAAATACGGTTTAAACAATTCGATTCCAAATGAAGTCTAGATATTGGGAAAGTTTGCATTAATCCTGTTTACCTGATACAAGACTTGAAATTTAAATATCTGGGTTACTTAAGCTTAAGCCGATCGCTAACAGAGGTTTTACTAAACATCTACAAACAAACACACCTTTTCAAACTGAATAACATGACAGCTGACATTGTCAATTGTTTTGTGTTAATCTCTTTGTTCTTCAACCTCATGGCTTTTACCGGTAATCCATAATTTTGAAACAATTAACGATTTTTAGAAAATTTTAATGTGATATTCTTCTTTGTATCCTGTGAGGAGTCAACCCCTTTTAATTAGTGACTTGTTTATTGTATTGACATGTTTCATATAGACTCTTTGAGTTTATTACTCTCTACCACAGTCTGTGAAAGGACATTTTCCGGGGAAACCTCTTGTTCGGAATGTTCAACACGTACCTGGGGGGTGACTGGAGGGGGCGACGCATCCCGATGGACCTGGGGGGTGACTGGAGGGGGCGACGCATCCCGATGGACCTGTGCGACGACTTCTACCAAGTTCTGCACCTCCATCACTGGAAGGGGTGCTGTAGGCCAACCAACGTAAAGTGAGTTCTTTTCACACTTTTTGCGAAGAGCACTCAACTTACCACCCCTCCCACCTTTGGCTTTGGATACCTTCACAGGTGCGGACTTCTTTACAGGTGCGGACTTCTTCACAGGTGCGGACTTCTTCATCTTCTTGGCCCTCTTGATCGGTTTCTCGAACTCATCCCCTGAATCGATAGGCGATAATAGTGCGATGGGCGATAAGAAACTTTGAAGATGCAATAAAGATGCGGGTTGTAGACATTCAATAAATCTTCGATGGGGGGTGCTGACGAAGAAGTTGGTCGCCTGAATGTCGACAAAGTTGGTGGCAGTGAGGGGTCAATCTCCTCTTCCTCGAGGGTTGGTTTGAAGTCCTCGAAAAAGAACTTCAAATCAGGAGTCGCCACTTCCTGGGTGGAAGTCATCCCCGGTGGTGGAATGGGAGCCGCCAATTCCTGGGTGGAAGTCATCCCCGGTGGTGGAATGGGAGCTGCAGCTGGTGGTGCAGCTGGTGGTTGTACCATGATGTCTTGTAGGACAACCACCTTCCTCCGCTCTATATCCTCCAATTGTCTTTCATTGAGAGTGGTACTCGGGGTCTTCAGAGCATTCCTTAAAAAAGACATGATTCTAGAAAAAGAAAATGAAAATATTAGACAATATAATATAAATAGTATGGAAGTGTGTACTTACATCAAGCTGCTTTTGTCCCATCCCGATGTGGTGAGGGAGTGGAACCAGCTTCGCGGTAGACATCTACGACCACTTGCAGCAGATTTTGAACAGATTCATCACAGATCGCATATATGACAAAGAATCAAAAAATTTCCGGTCCTCACATGCGCTCTGTGACAGGGGAACTTCCGCAGCAACATCTTGAGTGGGCGAAGGAAGGGCTGATGAGGCTGATGTCCCATCCCGATGTGGTGAGGGAGTGGAACCAGCTT